TAGTCAATTTTTTCTTTTTGCTAAACCATTTTATTGAGAGGTGTATGGAGCAATGAATTGAAGAATTATACCATAATTTTCTCAAAAATGTGTAAATTCAATAGACAAGTATTCTCCACCCTGATCACTCCTTAAAATCTTTACTTTATTATTAAGTTGGTTTTCAACCTCAAGTTTAAAAATCTTAAATTTTCAAAAGCTTGATATTTAGGTCTTAACAAATATACACATATAAAACTAAAAATCATCTATAATGAAGTATCTTTTTCCACCTCTTGTGAGTACAGTATTCAAGTCACATGTATCACTCAGTACAAGTCCTAACAATTAAGTATTCTTTTCCACTAAAGGAAAAGAGTTTTTAGTTATTTGTGTGATTGGATACATCATCATGTCTCATCGGAGACATCCGATAAAATTGGAACGATACAGAGAAGATTAGCATGGCCCTTGCGCAAGGATGACATGCACAATTAGAGAAATGGTCCAAATTTTTTTGAATTACCCAAAAAAAAAAAAATCATCACCACTATCAAAGGCAAGGACTTAAACATGGATTTTATTACAGAAAAATTTAAATGTCCTAGCCATAAATGAAAGACCTCACAAAGTAACTAGACTCATGCTTCATGTCATCGATCAAATCAATGGGAGATAACAGGGTGCCATCTCCCTGCTGAATTGCAATGCCACCTGATTACAATGGTGGCCTATCTGCCACATTTTCTTTTGCCTCTTGAAGAAAGAAAAGGTAAAAAACCTCCCATGAAAATCATGCTATCAAAAACTCAAGCATATACAAGAATAAGAATCCCAACTCGTAAGATACAAATAAAAGGCTACGAGGAACACACCTAAATTCTTCAATCAAGAGAAAGGATACAATCAAAGGCACACAGTGTCTTGTCTGCACCCTTGATGAAGTCATGGTTTTCATTATAGATGAGGTTTGTATGAGGTGTGAACGTTATATTATTGAAGTAAGGCACGCCACCTCAAAACTGAGCTGAATGATGCAATTTCGGTGTTAGAAAGCTTTGTCATGGCATGAAAATCTATTGTCACCCCTTATTATGAAATTTAGAGCTTTAAAAATGGCGATCGAAAATCTAAAAAATGGATGGTCCAGATGTGTCAAAAGACGAACTAATTTTACGATTTCAAATCCCCTTGTTTATAATATCTATCAATTTCAAAGTCGAAATGATCAATTTGAAGGTTTTCTAGCGTCGGAACAACCTTATCTGAAGGAAAGACCTATGTGATCTTTTGCTGGAGAAATACAATTTTTTTTGTTTTTTTTTAAATAATAATCACCCCTTGTAATTTTGGCAACAAGATCACTCACAAAGGGTCTTGTTACAAATAATAGAAATTCCAAAAAAAAATAACACATTAAATAAATCTCAACTACTTGATGTCATTCATACAACCTATTACTGTGCTTTAGAATGTAAAATAAAAGAACTAACCAATAAAAGAAAAGATGCCGGAGATTACCTCAACCGGCTTTTTATACCCCACACCGAGTCACCACATCCAATGGCGCGGGATCTGTGGTCTAGCTTCAATCTCAAACCGGCATAGCTGATTTCGGTCAAACTAGGTAACCACCCCTTAAAATCTCTATAAAACTTTAAACCCCAAAAATTAACTTAGGCCTAGAGAGGAGAGAGAGTACCACCTAAAAATCTCTACTAAAACTTTAAACCCCAAAAATTAACTTAGGCTAGAGAGGAGAGAGAGTACCACCTAAAATTTGGAGAGAAAAATTAGAGAGAGAAAGATGGAGGAGAGAGAGTGGGACATACCCCTCTAGTAGAGAGAGAGAGAAGAGAGGTTGTATGTGTAGAGATTAGGGAAGAGCACCCCTATTTATAGTGTATATTTAGGTTTAGGGTTTTTTAGGGTTTTTCCATAGTTTGCCTTTTTCATGAGATTGAAATCAAGACCGCTGATCAAGGTGACTTGTGGGGTGAGAGATCTGAGTGGGCCATCAATATTATGGAAGGTGCTTGAACCATTATCCCCTTTTCCTTAAATCATTTTCCCATCAATATATTTAAATGAAAAAAATATCATGCATTCCATAAAATTGCATGATCCATGTCACATATTCCATAAGGATATGTCAAATATTATCAAGTAAATAAATACTATTAAATATAAATAAGATAAGGTCAATATTTACTATCTATTTAAATTGACCATATCTCTTTAAAACAAACTTGCTATAAAACAAATAAAGCCATGGTCAGTATTTCCCTTCCAAGATTTGACCACATGCCACAAATCAAACTTACCTTAACTTAAAAACTTGAATATAAAGCAAACAAGAGAATCCAAAGAGGGTGGGGAGTGCCATCCTTTTGTGGCACATGTGGGCTCCCACCCACATGCCACATGGCGGGCCTATGTGCACTTTGGGCCCCCATGAAATTTTATAAAAAGTATTAAAATTAAATTAAAACTAATTAACATATATTTAAATTTTTTATAACTTTGTAAAATCAATAACTGTATTTTTATAAAACCAAACATTAGAAATAAAATATTGAGAGATTCATAAAAATTCAAATTATAAAACTAAATTCATTTTAATAATAAAATGAACACAATTAAATTAATATGATGGGAAAATGATACATATGGTTTTAAGAATTCAATCTGTAAATATGGGGTACTCCACCTCCAATTGTGGACTACAGACCACACTAGCTTTATCGAACTAACCCAGTGTTCCCATGACTCACAGTCCAAGCAGGGGCTCATTAGCGGGTCACCAAATTCGGGTCGATGAATCAAGGGGTCGCAATCCTAGTCTGTGGATTACAAGTCGTCCCTTAGAGACAAGCCAAGGTCACCACGACCTGATGCAACCACAACTCTATGGTGCATAGGGGTATCTCTTGTACATGCATACGCTTCACCCAAAGGTGGATATCTGGCTTTTCCGAACGATCTATCGATATGCATGCCGTGTGATGGAACATGGATGAGGTTTTGGTCCCCATCTCAGTAGGCCTACCATCACACACAAGGGTCACACAGTCCCTCGGCTCTCTCATCTAGGCATAAGCTCCGACCTCATCAAGAGCTAACCCAAAACCCTCCTCGGTTAATTCTTTATGCTCAGGTACCTAGGGTTTTCCAACCGTTTGGCCTAGATCGATGAGCACAGTCCGGTATAAGCAAACATCATTTACTTAGCATGGTCATCGAGAGACCACACTCCCACTTAGTTTATGTTCACTATAATGAAAGCATTTCAATACACACCCTTTAAAGGCCTCATAAATCTAGCATTCTCTAATGGGCTTTTTTGGTGCATCTCACTTCTTGATTGTAAAGTTAGTATCTTACATAAACTTTTTTCTTCTATTGTAAAATTTTACAAAATAAATGAAAAACAAAAACAATAACCCAAATATTATTTTGCGAAGTTATTACAGATAACAAGCCAATAGAGAACTAACATAACAGTATTGTCTACCAGGTAAACCGCCTGCATTGTGGATAATTTAGGATTTCAAACACTAATTTTTGTGGTCCAAACTCTAATTTTTTGAGGCTGGCCGACCGGCCCAAGGCCGCCCGCAACCACACATGGTGACCCTTGGATTCCTCGCTCCTTTATTCCTTGAGAAACGTGGTGCAAGATGCAAAGCAACAACCACTACAGTTTCTCACGTACCTCATTTATGCGGTCCGCGGATTTGTGAGGTCCGAGCGCGCGAGAGAGCAGACAATCCAGTGCCCTTTTAGGAAATGAAATATGTGTCAAGGTCCTGCCTAAGGATGAAGTAATACTGCCTAAGGATGAAGTAATAGGCTTTGGCTTTATGAAAACAAAATAAAGCCTCATCTCAAATCCTTAACTCGAAAGCACTTTTGGCATTGAAAATTTTCATAATCGCTCTAAATTAATTTTCAACACTGATAATAAATTTTAAAACTAAAAAAATAGTATGGATCTTGCCAATCATTGAACAATTATTTAAAAGGTAAAATGAACCGTCTAGATATTTTGTTAGAAGGTGTGGTTTGTATAGAGCCAAGGTTCTAAACAATCAAATTAGAGCCCACCTTCAAATAGTGTTGAAAATTGTGGTTTTAATAATGGAAATATTTGTGATAACCTTAAAATATAATTTCATCTTTAATTATAACATTAAAGCTTCAAAAATAGTGTAGATCGAGCAGATCTATAAAAACTTGAAATTCTTAAAAATTGACAGTCCAAAGATACACTATTTCCAAAACTTGAAATCTATTATTTTCTCATGTCCATGCATCTTGATCTCGAGATGATCAGTTTGAAGACATTTAGACATCTAAATAACCTCTTTAAGTGGAAATTTTGAGGTGGGTTCTAATTTGATTGTTTAGAGCCTCGGCTCTATATAAACCGAGGTTATTTACACTATTTTTAGCCTTTGTTATAATATACGCTATTTTTAGGGTTTCAAATCCTAAATTATTTTTTTCACAATTGTAATGTTCAAGTTGAGATTATCGATGTAAAAGTTTTTCCAATACTTGACTTTCATTTTTCGATGAGGTATGAAGTAAATATTTACTTATTTTTGATAGGGATGAAGCCCTATCAAACTATCTTCTTTTATGAAGTGAAGTACTTGTGTCAATAGTGCGGTTCGGTGAAGGTCATGGTCAAGCGAAGAAAGGGATAAAATAGATATTAAAGGATCACACTGGTTGCAATTTCTTTGTGATTTGTAAGAAATCGATAGTGCATTCAAACCGGTGGGGCACACATTAACCGTATACACCTCCACACACTGCCTAGCTCCACATTTTGTCTTCTTTTGGTACTTCAATACATGTATCCCTCTATAAATACACCCTCCTCCTACCATTTTCCATTACCTTTCCTCAAGTTCCCACCATTTTCACTCCTCAATATCCAGCCATTTCCTAATCCTAACGCCATTTCTGGCCACCAGAACCAATACCATAGAAAATGGCCGCAAAAACTCTAAGAGTTCTCAGTTACTGTTAGTAAACCAATGCTTGTAACTCCATCAAGACCCACACCTTATGAAATCAAGCCTGTATCCGACATTGATGACCAAGAAAGCCTTCGTTTCCAAATGTCGGTGATCGAATTCTATGGTAAGGACCCCAAAATGGATGGTCGAGATCCCGCGAGAGTGGTGTGGGACGCGTTGTCTGAGTCGTTGGTCTATTACTATCCTTATGCTGGGAGGTTGGTAGAGGGGGAGAAGAGGAAGTTGAGTGTGGAGTGCAGTGGAGAGGGGGTTTTGTTTGTGGAAGGGGATGCTGATGTGAGTTTGGAGGAGTTTGGGGATGCTCTTCATCCTCCTTTTCCTTGTTGGGAGAGGCTCTTGATTCATGTACCTGGTTCCGATGGCGTCATAGGATGCCCATTGCTCTTCATTCAGGTATTCTGACTCTCTCTCTCTCTCTCTCTCTCAATCTTTTCATTTCTTGTTTTCCAAATAGCTCTCTCATTATAGATAGTGTAATGTCCTGCATATTTCTCACTTTGGTTTTTCAGTTCTTCTGTTCTACGTAGCTGTCTTCGTATTAGAGGGAGAGCTTGTTTACCTCTAAGATTTTTTCGTTCCTTATTTTTCATATAGGTGGATCAGTGTTCTAAAATACGACTTGGCCCAACTACTCCGATTTTGGTGGAGGCGAGTTATTCAGTCTGAGTCCAATAAACTCCTCAAGTCGTGAACAATATTGTAATAAAAAGAAGATTAAAGATTATATAAAGGTAATTTGGAGAACTTTTCCAAATGGGTTAAGGCAGTGTTTTAAAAATCGTTGAGTGGGCACGGAATCGGTCGATTCAAATCGGGAGTCGATCATCCCGTGTCGGTTCTTAATTCTTCTGTAAAGAAGGGAATCATCCGGTTCTAGTGATTCTGTATAGTAAATCGCTCAAGAGAATCGCTCGGTTCTAGCGATTCTGTATAGTAAATCGCTCAAGACCCGCCCAATTCTTCTTACAGTCAAGGGCGTAGTCCTGATTCTGTATAGTAATGGTTCTTCATTCTTATGTAAAGAAGGGAATCGTCGGATTCTAGCGATTCTGTATAGTAAATCACTCAAGACCCGCACAATTCTTCTTACAGTCAAGGGCACAATCCCAATTCTGTATAGTAATGGTTCTTCATTCTTCTGTAAAGAAGGGAATTGCCCAGTTCTAGCGATTATGTATAGTAAGGGAAAATTCGTCAAAGATTGGGAGGGGGGGGGGGGGGGTGGGGGGGGGGTAATTTTGAGGGCATTTTTGTAAATATCAAGAAATTTCGAGGGAAAATTCGTCAGATACCCGGAAGACAGTTAAGGGCATTTGCATTTTTGTAAATATTGGGGAATAATTCGTCGCATTTGCATTTTTGTAAATATCGGGGAATAATTCATCAAAGACGGGGGGGAATTTTGAGGGCATTTTTGTAAATATCGGGGCAAATATTCATTGGAGACCGGGAAGCGCCCATCGGGTCAAAGACCGGGGGGAATTTTGAGGGCATTTTTGTAAATATCGGGGCAAATATTCATTGGAGAGCGGGAAGCGGTCAACATGCGAATGGCCCCATGGGGAATTTCAAAGGCATTCTTCTCCATGCACGTGTGCTCACGATCCACAAGCTTCGCGTGATCTCATTGCTTCGCACGCGCTACAAAAAGTGAGTACAAAAAACTATTTATTCACAAAATTTGTTTCTCTCTCTTCGATGTGGGACTATGTGAAAAGGTAATACCTTAAAACATTCATATATTATATTTTTTTTTAACGGTTTTATTAAATCTATGTTGCAAGTACTATACCGGTTATTGTGTGCGCTCAATGTATGGACTGACGCGGGTTCGATTCCTCTCGTTGAAGAACTGTATTTTTACCTCTTTTTTTTGTCAAATTCCTTTCTTATCAAAAAAATTAAAGATTTTTTGTAAAAAAATAAAAATAAAAGGTTTTTATCAATTTCACTTTTTGTCAAAAAAATTTCTTCTCAATAAAATAAAAAGTTTCGTATAAAAAAAATGAAATTTTTTGTCAACTTTTTTCTTATAAAAAAAAATTAAAGGATTTTTCTAAAAAATAAAAATAAAAGGTTTTTTTTTATCAATTTCGCTTTTGTCAAAAAAATTTCTTATCTATAAAATAAAAAGTTTCGTATAAAAAAAATGAAAGGATCTTATCAATCCTTTTTCTTGTCATAAAAATAAAATGGTTTCTTCAAAAAAATACAAAAATAAAAAGTATTTTGTCAAAAAAATAAAAAGTTCTTATAAAAAAAAATAAACAAGCATTTTTGTCAAAAAAACTCATTTCTTATTTTTATAAAAAATACAACAAGGATTTTTGTTAAAATAAGTTCATATACAGAAAAAAAAAAACTCAAGATTCATATATTGAAGAAAAAATGAAAATTACTAATGTAGTGCCCCGATTTCTTATTGGATTTTTAAAAAACAACATTATAATAAATTTTAATAATTTTTTTAGATTTTTTTTTAAGCTTAATCAGATCGATTCAGCCGATTTCCGATCTGGATCGTCGATTCACCAATTCGGATGGGGTTTTGGAGTGTCCGATCCGAGGCAGCGATCCTTTTTTTGAACTACTGGGTTAAAGTAACAAACTCATGATTCTCTGATTTCTATGTTGCATGTTCCACTTCTCACATCGTTAAATTTTTTTATTTTTGTCCTAAAAAATCAATCATATTTTCTTCATTTTACTTTTAGGTATCAACAGAGTACCCCAGGCACAAATGAAAAGAGGGGTTGCATCATATAAAGAAAAGACTTGTGGTATCTCTTTTGGATTCCTTTTTTTTTTTTTCCTTTTTCTAAAAGTAAATATTGCGGTTCAATAGTCTAATTTTTTTTTCCGACATAATTTTCAAAAATATTAAATTAGAGGAACTAAAGTTGTTCAAAATAAAGAAAACGAACATGTGCCATGCAAACAAGGGACAAATATACCTCATTATAGTCAAATAGAAGGAACATACGCACAAGGATGCTGGGCTTGTGAGACCTCCAAAATCTTTTTCCCGGTAGGACACCATATATTTACTCCCTCGAGCAAAAGACTTGCTCAAGAGGAATTTTCTGATCTTAAATTTTGATAACTATCTTATAATTAGTACATGATTATTTTCAAGAGCAAGAATTTTTTGAGTTATCTGACACTTATATCTCACCCTTAAAGAATTGGATAGGCTCTATTTTTCCGAGGGGCAATATTTTTTTGAAGCACATAGAGTGTGATTTGGAAATTTTTTAGGAAAAATTACAAAAGAACCCCCTCAAAGATACTACTTATCCAACTTACCTTCCAGCTAACCTTTCCTCACTTTTTTTCCCGCAACTATCTTTCCTCACAAACCCCCCCAAATCCAAAACAAAAAAAAAAATCTCCTGGTGGCTTTTACCCATGACTCTCTCCCCATGCGCTCCGGCAATCCATTTAAATGCTCCGGCAATCCATTTAAATGCTCCGGCAGTGAAGACAGGCGCTCCGGCAATGTAAGGACTCGCTCCAGCAGTACACCTTCTGGAGCCATAGCACTCTAGCGGTTGAATGGGTTGCTCTGGCAATGAGGACTCATGCTCCGGCAGTACAAAGACACGCTCCGATAGTACACCTTCGGTGCCACATCGTTTCGGCGGTTGAATAGGTCGCTTCGACAATAAAGACAAGCGCTCGAGCAATACAAATATGCGCTCCAGTACACCTTCTGGAGCCACATCGCTCCGACGGTTGAATTGATCGCTTCGGCAATACACTACTTGAGACTGTCAAATGACTTTTTTTTGTGGAGAAAAGGTATTTTCGCCAAAAATATAACAACTCTTTACTTTAGGGGGGTTTTTGTGACGAAATATGATTGTGGGAAAAAAGTAAGAGGAAAGGTTAGCTGAGGGTAAGTTGCATAGATAATATACTTGAGGGAGATTTTTGTAATTTTCTCAATTTTTTTAATTACATCCTAAAATTTTAGGGAAAAAGTTTATATAAGGATGCTACTTTATAATATAGGATTATGGATGCCCCTCAAAAATCCATCAGAAAATGTAGTTTTAATGTTGAAAAACCATTTGATTGATCATCTCGACATCGAGATGTATGATTATAAAAAATAGAAAGATTTTAAGTCTCATAAATAATGCATTTTACGACATATTATCTACACCGTCCATTTTCAATATTTTCATATGTTTATAGATCTATTTGATTTTAACGATTTTTGAAATTTAAAATTTTATAATTAAATATAAAAATAAATTTTAAATTATTTTAACAATATTTTACATCAAAATTATATACTATGATAAAATTTAAAGGGTACCGTACCTCTAAACCTACGGAGGTGGAGGCGTCCGTAGGCCAGCAGCATCCAAAGTCTAGAGTCCTAAAAGTACTCTAGATTGAATTTCATCCAAAGGACCAGTATACTCTCCCAGTAGTATGAAATTTTTTAACTTTGTTTATGCCGCGCAACTCCTTTTGCAAATGCGAGTCAAAACAATCTCATCCGCTCATTAGCTCATTGAAGTTGAATGTTGGATGCCTAGATTTGTCCCCTGGGAAAATATCTCCAAAATCAATTCAAAACGTTTGTGTTGTCAAATAAATAAGATAGTGTTTATTTTAAAGAATATCGCTCGTCAGTAATAAATATCCAAAATCTCATGGCAAATTTCATAACAGATACGGTACCAGTTCTGTGATGGGCAAAACTTACATACTAAAAAGCTCCACCTAGAACTTCTATATTAGTTTGTGCTTAAGAAAAAAAGTTTTCTAAAATAATGAAACTTAAACTAAGAACTTGGTTCCTTAATCCTATTATGGCTACTTCCTTATATTTATATTTATATTTATATTGTTAATTTATATTTGAATTTGCATTATATTATATATATTATATGATACAAATAAATATTAATAAAATTTATATTTATATTATAAATTATACTATGTTATTTATAATATATGTTTTATATTTTATAGTATAATATATAATATATTTTATAGTATAATATAGAATATATTTTATTTATATAATAGATATTTAAATATTATATATAATAAAAATTTATATTAATAGAATAAGTATAAATTACAATATATAATATGATGTATTTTGTTATATATATTATATATTTATATTTTAATTATTAATATATTTGTATAATATAGTATATACATGTAATATAATATATTTTATTATGTATTATATAATAAAATAAATAGAAAAAATACTATATTATATATTATATTATGTTATATATAGTATATATAATGTATATTTATATATCTTATATAGTTATGTAATATAATATATTCTATTATATATTAAAAATAAATATAAAATACAGTATATTATACATTATAATATGTTATAATTATCATGTATATATATATATATATATATATATATATATATAATATCATATGTATATATTATATATTATATT